TTTAACTTTTATTTAATGAATATAGATTTCCAAAGTATAGCTTATGGATTACATTGCCTCCCCCCGCCCAATGACTTCCCTCCCACCTACAACCCACCCTTTCCCGCTCTCTCTCCCCTTCCATTCATATCAAGATTCATTTTCAAATTTCTTTATATACAGAAGATCAGTTTAGTATACATTAAGTTAAGATTTCAACAGTTTGCACTCATATAGAAACACAAAGTGAAAATACTGTTTGAGTACTTGTTATAGCATTAAATCTCAATGTACAGCACATTAAGGACAGAGATCCTACATGAGGAGTAAGTGCACAGTGACTCCTGTTGTTGACTTTACAAATTGACACTCCTGTTTATGGCATCAGTAATCTCCCTATGCTCCAGTCATGAGTTTCCAAGGCTATGGAAGCCTTTTGAGTTCACCGACTCTTAACTTATTTAGACAAGGTCATAATCAAAGTGGAAGTTCTCTCCTCCCTTCAGAGAAAGGCACCTCCTTCTTTGAAGACCTGTTCTTTCCACTGGGATCTCACTCACAGAGATCTTTCATTTAGGTTGTTTTTTTTTTTTTTTTTTTTTTTTTTTTTTTTTTTTTTTTTTTTTTTTTTTTGCCAGATTGTCTTGGCTTTCCATGCTTGAAATACTCTCATGGGCTTTTCAGCCAGATCCGAATGCCTTTAGGGCTGATTCTGAGGCCAGAGTGCTGTTTAGGACATCTGCCATTCTATGGGTCTGCTGTGTATCTCGCTTCCCATGTTGGATCGCTCTCCCCTTTATTTATTCTATCGGTTAGTATTAGCAGGCACTAGACTTGGCTATGTGCTCCCTTTGATATTAGTCCTTTCATTATGATCAATTGTGAACAGAAATTCATCACCGGGACTAGTGAGATGGCATTGGTACATGGCACCTTGATGGGATTGAATTGGAATCCCCTGGTATGTTTCTAACTCTACCATTTGGGGCAAGTCAGCTTGAGCATGTCCCAAATTGTACATCTCTTCCCACTCTTATTCCCACTCTTATATTTAACAGGGATCACATTTCAGTTAAATTTCAACACTTAAGAATAACTGTGTATTAATTACAGAATTAAACCGGTAGTATTAAGTAGAACAGACAAAAAAATACTAAGAGGGATAATGTATTAAGTTGTTCATTAACAGTCAGGGCTATGCTGATCAAGTCACTGTTTCTTGTAGTGTCCATTTCACTTCAACAGGTTTCCTTTTTGGTGCTCAGTTAGTTGTCACTGATCAGGGAGAACATATGATATTTGTCCCTTTGGGACTGGCTTATTTCACTCAGCATGATGTGTTCCAGATTCCTCCATTTTGTTGCAAATGACAGGATTTCATTGTTTTTTACTGTGGTATAGTATTCTAAAGAGTACATATCCCATAATTTCTTTATCCGGTCTATCGTTGATGGGAATTTAGGTTGGTTCCAGGTCTTAGCTATTGTGAATTGAACTGCAATAAACATTAGGGTGCAGACCGCTTTTTTGTTTCCCAATTTAAATTCCTCTGGGTAGATTCCAAGGAGTGGGATGGCTGGGTTGAATGGTAGGGTTGTCTTCAGATTTCTTAGGAATCTCCAGACTGACTTCCATAGTGGCTTGACCAGTTTGCATTCCCACCAACAGTGGGTTAGTGTCCCTTTTTCCCCACATCCTCGCCAGCATCAGTTGTTGGTAGATTTCTGTATGTGAGCCATTCTCACTGGGGTGAGGTGAAACCTCATTGTGGTTTTGATTTGCATTTCCCTGGTTGCTAGTGATCTTGAACATTTTTTCATGTGCCTGTTGGCCATTTGGATTTCCTCTTTGGAAAAATGTCTATTGAGGTCCTTGGACCATCTCTTAAGTGGGTTGTTTGTTTTGTTTTTGTGGAGTTTCTTGATCTCTTTGTAGATTCTGGTTATTAACCCTTTATCTGTTGCATAGTTTGCAAATATTTTTTCCCATTCTGTCAGTTGTCTCTTCACTCTCCTGACTGTTTCTTTTGCAGTACAGAAACTTCTCAATTTGATGCAATCCCAATAGTTGATTTTGGCTTTGACTGCCTGTGCCTCCCGGGTCTTTTCCAGAAACACTTTGCCTGTGCCAATATCTTGGAGGGTTTCTCCAATGTTCTCTAATAACTTGATGGTGTCGGGTCGTAGATTTAGGTCTTTAATCCATGTTGAGTGAATTTTTCTGTAAGGTGTAAGGTAGGGGTCTTGCTTCATGCTTCTGCATGTGGAAATCCAATTTTCCCAGCACTATTTATTGAATAGACTGTCCTTGCTCCAGGAATTTGTTTTGGATCCTTGATCAAATATAAGTTGGCTGTAGATGTTTGGGTTGATTTCTGGTATTTCAATTCTGTTCCATTGGTCTATCCATCTGTTTCTGTACCAGTACCATGCTGTTTTGATTACAACTGCCCTGTTGTATGTCCTGAAATCTGGTGTTGTGATGCCTCTGGCTTTGTTTTTGTTGTACAAGATTGCTTTAGCTATTCGAGGTCTCTTGTGCCTCCATATGAATTTCAGCATCATTTTTTCTAGATCTGAGAAGAATGTCTTTGGTATCTTGATTGGAATTGCATTGAATCTATAAATTGCTTTTGGGAGAATGGACATTTTGATGATATTGATTCTTCCAATCCATGAGCATGGAAGATTTTTCCATTTTTTGGTATCCTCTTCTATTTCTTTCTTTAAGATTTTGCAATTTTCATCGTAGAGATCTTTAACATCCTTGGTTAAGTTTATTCCATGGTATTTGATTGTTTTTGTAGCTATTGTGAATGGGATTGATCTTAGCAGTTCTTTCTCAGCTGTGGCATTGCTTGTGTATACAAGGCAACAAGTTTTGTTTCTTTTCATAATCACATCTAAAGTTCTAATGCCAACTTGTTTTACTCAGTAAGGTCCTTGCTTTTATCCTACTGCACTTTTTTAAAGATTTACTTATCCACTTTTTGAATGGCTGAGTGACAGAGAGGGAGAATCAGGGATGGGGTTGGAGGGAAAGATCTTGAATTTGCTGGTTCACTCACCACGTAGCAGCAACAGCCAGGTCTGGGCCAGATGAAACCAGGAGCCCGGAGCTCCATCCTGGTCTCCCACATGGGTGGCAGGGGCCCAAGTACTTGGGGCATCTTCCGCCGCTTTCCCAGGTGTTTTAGCAGGGAGCTGGATTGAGGTGGAGCAGCTGAGACTCAGAACTGACACTCTCATATGGGCTTTGCGGGTCGTGGCTTACCCAGTGGTGCTACGACACCAGCCCCCGCCCCACACACCCACTACATTTTAGTGTGGAGTAAATTTTATTTCCCAAGTACCCATTAATAACCTATTAATAGAAAGCATTTGTTAGTGTTGTTTTGTTTATTCCAACCCCGTATAAAAGTTTTTATGTTTTAATTGCACTTTATTTTATTCACATTTTTATGACAACTATTTTGACTGCTTCCAATTATTTATTTATATTTTCATGCATCCTAGTTCTTTACTTATTTTCCTGTATAGTCTATTATTTTTGGTTTCATTTTTAATGATTGCAAATTTCTTTTTTCTCATTTTTATTTATTTGCATTTTATTTGACAAAGAGATAGAGCCAGAGACAGAAGAAGAGATCACTCATTTAATGGTTCAAATGCCTGCAATGGCCAGGAGCCTGGAACTCACTCCAGGTCTCCTAGGTGGGTGACAGAAACCCAAGTGCCTAAGCCATCAGCTGCTGGCTCTCAGGGTGCACACTAGCAGGAAGCTGAACTGGAAGCAGAGGGACTTGAGCCAGGCACGTGGATGCGGGATGCAGATGACCCAAGTAGTGACCCAACTCCTCCACCAAGTGCCCTACCATTTGCCATCCCTTCAAAGCACTCGGCTATGAGAAGTGTCTGAAGCTCTCACACCTGACAGCATGAGGTTCGTATCTAAATCGCCTGCATCACTGGGCCACATCTCAGAGTCTTATTTTGCTTGTTGGCTAACATGGTGAGAACATCACCTGGTGGCCTGGTTGTGGGATTACCCTTCACGAAGCTAAGCCTTAAGGTAGGGTGTAGAGGAGGTTCACAACAGTGCCATCCCATCCTGTGCCCCGGGGAGTGGCCTCCAGACAGGCCTTCTGCCCCATAGAAGGGTGAACTAGGCTCTGGCAGGGAGGCCTGTCTAAGCCTGATACAGCTGCGCCTGGCAGAACTGGGGACGGGCAGGGCTGTGCTGACCGTGTGCTGATTGCGCTGCCCACTCGTGTATGATTTCAGGCTGTGCACTCTGGCCAGGAGGTGCAGAACGCCGAGCCGCCGCCACCGCAGCTCCCTTGTTAAGTAAGGGATGCTCTCTTGCCCAGGGGGACTTGCAGGTGCTTACGGTGCAGTTAACGGATGTTATGAATGAGCCTTCTTGGTCCTCCGGCTCTTAGAGTGCGACACTGGGCCACCTCCAGTTTTAATTGCTTTTTTTCAGTTTCTCACTGAGGGGTATTATAGAAGAATGATTCAGGGGCTAATATAAAAATTTTAATGGAGCACTATGAAATAACACATTAATACTTCTTTAAAGCAGGCCTGCTCTGTTAGGAGAAGTGTCACTGGATGGTCTTGCTTCTTTCCAAACGTTAAGTGAGACCCACTTAGGTGAGTCGTACAACAAGCAATGGAAGTTCGTGGGTTTAGTTCTTATTCTGTGGAATCACAGCCCAGACAGCAAGAAATCTCCATCAGCCAGCAAGCGATGACCTAACAGCCCTGCCAATGTTGTCAGGACATTTTCGAGTGAGGTGACCTCAGCTAGGATCCATTATCCACGCTCAGATAAAGCGGAACTTGGTAGTGTGAATGCTCGTGGCCATGGAGGGATGACCTCATTCGAGGATGGCAAAGCTGTGCCGTCCGGCCCCCACCCGTGCCTTGGAACACTCTCAGCTGGCCAGTGTGTGGAGGACAGAGTCCACACTGGCTTCCTCGGATGATGTGGAAGGCTGGCTGGGGGAAATTCAGAAAAATGGTGCTGACTCACCTACAAACGCCAACACTCAAGAAAAGTAGTGTAATCTGGCCTTGCTACAGAATTTTGCTAGTAGAAAGCATGGACAGGAAATAGGCAGAAATATTCTCAGTTTCTATTTATAGAATGTTTGGCAGGGGCAAAAGAAAAATATATCGCTTGAAATATGCTTACTGGATTTTTTCCATGACAACTCACTGGAGTCGGAAGTACTTAGGAAGATTTTCAAAACCACATAATGTTACTGTGAGAAGTATTCTGTAATGAGCAATGTGAAACCATATTTCAAAATTACTTTTAACTCCAACAGACCTTTTTTCCAAAATATCTTGATCAGAACTTAGGAATACATTACTGGAGTAAAAAAAAATGAACGTGATTATACTTTTCCCACAGTGAAGAAGACTTATTGTCATGTCATGTTTAAATACAATTAGCTATCATGGATCAAAGGCTAGTTCCCCATCAGGAGATATTTCCTCGAGCATGTTTTTACAGAACATCTGCTATAGATTCAGTATTGTGCTAGTGACACGGAGACAGAAGAGAGATACAAGGCAAGCTCACAGCTTTGTTCAGCCTTCAGTACCCGTGAGAAGGTAAGGGTGGGGGTTGAAAAATCCTGCATGCTGAACTGTAGATAACAAAGGTCCCTACATGGACCGATCCACAACAATCAGACACTGAATAGGAATGAGCTTGATGTGGTTCTGATGGTAAACACGAGGGAGACAGGACAGAGGAGTGGCTACTCGGTAGAGGGAAATCGCCTTATGAAGATGTGTTCCCAGCACAGAGAAGATGAAACAGCAGCCGGAGCGTTCTCGGCGTGAGGTGCTAGCCGTGCTGGGCATCCTGGCAGGTCCTGAAAAGATGGACTGTGTGGCGCTCTATTAATAAACACAGTATGTTCCACTGTCGGTGCACATTTTTGTTATTTCAAAGTAATTTTTGCTAATATGAATAGTGCTTTTATGGAAATTATTGTATGTTTCTCTTTGTACACACATGCAATCATCTCTGGTCTGAAAATATCAGGTATTAGAATTATAGGACCAAAACTGTCTGTTTGTTATCTGGGTTTATTGTACAAATACAGACCTAACAATTGTAGCCAGATTGTCATTGTTCCAACAACTTAGCAAACACTTGTACTGCCAGTTTATTTTCCTTGTGTCGCTCCCCCTCTTCGCGGAGGAACGACACTAAACCCTGCCTAGGCTTCCTATCCGAGTCACGGCACCATTATGTCGCTCCCCCTCTTCAGGGAGGAGCGACACAGGACCCTGCGCTGTTCTTTTGTCTGCTCGGCCCTCCCCGGGTTTGCTGCTGGTTCTTCCCCGGGTTGGCTACTGTCCCTTCCACCTCCGTGGAAGGGCGGTTCCCCCTGCCACTTTCCCCACTTCCGCGGGGGAGCGGCACACCGCCGGCCGGCTCTCTCGGGGGCTGCACAGGTGTTCCTTCAGATAGATGTTCCTGGTGCATGTTGTCTCTCTCCTCCTTTATAGTCCTCTTCCACCAATCCCAACTCTGCTACCCACACGCCGAGTACGCTGCTCTCCTCCAATCAGGAGCAGGTCCTGCTGTTCATTGGTTGAACTGGAGGCAGCTGTGTAGAAGTTGTTACTTCCTTCTCAGTGCCATATTGTGGGAGAGCAGATGCATAGAATAAGTCTTAATTCCAGTAACTTAGTATAGTCCGGGTTGCTCCCAGTTGCTCCCCACACCTTGGGCATCTTAGTGTTCTACTGTGATATTAATTTGAATGTCTTTTATTAGTAAAGCAAAACTCTTAAAGTTTATTTGTATTGACTACGAAAATATGCTTCTCCATGAAGTGCCATCTCTCTTGCCTTTTTTCTAAGGAATTGTCTGTTTTGTTGTAATTATTGACTGTTTGTATTTTATGGATCCTAGACCTCTGGTCCACATATTACAAATATCTTCGATCACATTATGGCTTAACTTTTCTTAGTTATGACCATTATTAAATTTTAACATAGTCCTGCTCCTCAATCTTCATGAATTATTCTTTTTGAGTCCTACTTAGGAAATTTTGTCTTCACAAGGTTCATGAAGATAGTTTTGCTTTCCAAAACTGTCTTATTTTCCATTACTATCTCTGCAATCTCCCTAGATTCTTTTCTGACTTTGAAAAAGAACACCATCAGAGCCGATGCTGTGGTACAGCAGGTTAAAGCCCTGGCCTGCAGCGCCGGCATCCCATATGGGCACTGCTCCTCTTCTGATCCAGCTCTCTGCTATGGCCTGGGAGAGCAGTAGAAGATGGCCCAAGGCCTTGAGCCCCTGCACCCACGTGGGAGACCCAGAGGAAGTTCCTGGCTCCTGGCTTTGGATTGGTGCAGCTCTGGCCATTACAGCCATCTGGGGAGTGAACCATCGAATGGAAGATCTCTCTCTGTCTCTACCTCTCTCTGTAACTCTGTCTTTCAAATAAATAAAATAAATCTTAAAAAAAAGAAAAAGAAAACCGTCAAGTCTCTGTTGAATTTCCTATAGCCACCGAAATAGACAAGCACGGAGAAATGGGCAGAATACAAGGTGAACCCGCAGGAAGGGAGCTGAGAGAATGATCACCTGGATTTGCTCTTCTTGCTCCTTCTGATGCCAAGTGAGCCCTCCCACTGGCTGAGAACACGCGGTGGTACACCTCGTGCGGATCACCATCCAGGGCTGAGAGCAAGGTGGGGAAGGAAGCAGAATGCATCTGCAGAGAAAACCAGGCATATTAGGGAAACCAGAGATAATGTGTTCTACTGAAGTGTGTCATCAACTATTCCTTTACATGGACCAGATTGGCGTAATAAAACAGAGATGACAGTGGGGCAAAAATCCACCTAGGAAGTAACGAACCTTTGAATTGTAAAGCCTAATGAACCGATGAAGAGTGAACTGCCTGGTTACGCATTGCGTTGCAGCTCCATGTGACCTCTTTCCTGGATTCAGGGCACCGGCCATCGGATTTGGGCTTTTCGTCCATGCACTGTCTGTGCTTCCCCCCCCGTTTCGTCTCCAGCACCTCACTTAATGCCAAGGCCACAAAAAGCGTCAGCAGCTGTTCCTTGACTAGATCAATGCATGCAAGATGATTGCCTTAGCCCAGAGCCAGGATACAGGTTCAATCTCTAACGTTAGGGGAGGAAGCAAGGCAACAGTGTGTGTTCAAGTCCAGTGGACATGGGCCATGGTGAAAATGTTACAACTTGCCATCCACAGGAGATCTAGGTGTGACTGGAGGGACAAGGAGATGTGGGATGATAAACTGGGGCACCGCAGTAGCACTTGAAGTCCCCACGTTTGATGTTTAGGAGCACAGGTGGGGCAAAGCTATTAATACAGTTTGGAATCCGATAACTGCAGCTGGAGTTCCTGAGGGTCCCCATTCTACTCCCTTCTGAGAGCCTGAAAAGGGAGAGGGAGGTAAGGATGATGGGTCAGTGCTTAGGCTTCACCCTGACCCTCAGAAGGTCATGGCCAAGGGTCCATAAATATCCCCTGCACTCCATCTGACATAGAAGTCGACCTCCCACTGCCATAAGCTCCACCTCCCAGAGCAAGCTCCACCCTTATCCTGCGCCAACGGACAACCACGTACCTTATACTTCCCAGAAGTCCAAAACCAGAGGCTTATGGTGGAAAGCCAGTGACTAGAACGCTGCCCAGGAAGCAAGGCCGAGTAACAGAAAGCTAAGTCAGAACTGCGACTGTTCAGAGGGAACAGCAGGGCAGGTGCGGCCTGTTACAATCAATTTTGTACGAATGAACAAATGTTTCTTCTTACAACATCATAACTATGCTGCAGTTAATTACCCTTTTGCTTAGCTCTGTCTGCCTCAATAGAAATTGCAGTTAGATCTATAACACATCCAGATAATGGCTAATTTCGGTTTTCCCCTGTAGTTCCTTTTGAGACAGATCTTCAGGAGAATACAGAAAAGGAAGGGCAAAACAGGTAAATACGGGTCAAGGAAGAAGATAAATCTTAAAAGAAACGTGCTTTGGTTTGGCCATGGGGTTTGCCAGCCAAAAATGGGCAAACATACAAGAGCCTGCATTGTGGTCACCGCGGGCAGGATAACGGGTTCCCAACCTCCTGAGGCCTCTCCAGGTTGGGCAGAAACCCTGGGGTCTCAACCTGTGTTTCCCAAAGCCTCAATACTTTTAGCCACATGACGCAGGAGCTAGTTCACTAACTCCTGACCATCCCCAGCTAAGGTTAAGTTGCCCAGAGCAGTCACGTCCAATGATACTCTAAGTTCTGGGGCACTGGTCCTCCAAGTGCCTACGGCTGTCAGAATCTCATATTCTGGGGGCCAAACCCAGCACAGGTGGGAGGCAGGGCACCGCAGAGCCTTCCCTCACTGCACTCCCTGCCGTGAGGCCACCTCTTCCCCCACCTGCACCCCACCCGCTCCATCACCTGTGCAATTGCACGGTGTGCACTGTGCCTACCCTTAGTCCAGCAGGTTACCTGTCATGAACCCTCCTTTCTGCATCCTCCGTGTACTTCTACTTGTATTTCCTTTTTTAAAAAGATTTATTTATTTACTTGAAAGTCAGAAAGTCAGAGTTACACAAAGAAAGGAGACACACACACACACAGAGAGAGAGAGAGAGAGAGAGAGAGAGAAAGAAACAGAGAAAGAGAGAGAGGAGGGGGGGAGAGAGAGAGAGAGAGGGAGAGAGTCTTCCATTTACGGGTCACTCCCCAATTGGCCGCAATGGCCAGAGCTGAGCTGATCCGAAGCCAGGAGCCAGGAGCTTCCTCCAGGTCTCCCATGTGGGTGCAGGGGCCCAAGTACTTGGGCCATCTTCTACTGCTTTCCCAGGCCACAGCAGAGAGCTGGATCAGAAGTGGAGCAGCCGGGACTCGAACCAGTGCTCATATGGGATGCCAGTGCTTCAGGCCAGGGCATTAACCCTCTGCGCCACAGCATCAGGCCCCTGTATTTTCTTAAACTGAGCATTAGAGTAACATTCTAATGTTTCGTCAAGTTTCTAGTCTAATTTATGTCTATGCTTTTTTGTGGAGAGTGGCCAATTCTGACCCACGAGAGGGTTGACCTGTGTGATGTATGGCCAGGTGTGGGCACTGCGGGCCTCAATGCCAGTGCTTTTTACCTCATGGAGCTTCCTGGGAACCTTTCACACTCGCCCTCGCACTGGCCTGCTCCACCCAGCAGGAGCGCTGGTGCCCACAGCTCTGAGGATTTTCCTTCCTCTCATCCTGTCACTCACAAAAAGCTGACTTTGACCTTCTGGGCTTCTAATCACAAAACAACAAGTCTGATCCCATAATATCGGCTGTGCACAATGACTCAGAGAGGCTGCTGGGGGATGGGGCAGGTGGCTGAGAGGAGGTCACTCACTGGATTGCCTGGTCGCTCTGCCGAAGTCGCACTGCCAAGGCTACCGCCACTGGAGCCGTTAGAAGGAGCACGGTGAGGATGTCTGGAATAGAGGACTCTTCATTCTGGGTTTGGTAGCCAGAGTTTCTAGCAAAGTTATGTTAATTGCCCTTCCTACAGAAAAAAATATTACACATTTTGTCTCTAGGTCTTCTTTAGATAGCTGATTAAATGAATCTTTGAGCACAGTAAAAATTTGAGGATTCGACTTACAAGTTTATTTTCAAAGACTCAGTTGCAGAAACGCAAAACAAATGTCCTCTCCTTATCCATCCAGTGTGAATCATACAGATTCATGAGCTTGTTGGGGACAGCTCTCAAGCCCAGCTGTGTTCTCAGCTCACTGGTCCGTGTGTCTAGGGTGTGAACAAGGCTTCTCTCTTGCATCATCTGTGTGGATGTCCACTCTTATTGCTTGATTTTCAGTGCCCACCACATGTGAAGGCCAAAGTGGTACTCTGCTTCCTGTATGGGGAGCAGGCATCCAGTCTGGCAGTTAGGGTGCCCACATTGCATACTGGAGGACCTGAGTTCAACTGCTGCCTCAAGTTCCTAAACCCAGCTTCCTACCAAGTCAGAGCCTAGGAGGAGGTGTTGATGGCTCAAACAGTGGATGCCTGTCACCCAAGTGGAAGACCTGCATTATGTTCTTGGCTCTAGCCTTGGCTCAACCCCAGACACCGCACTGTAAGTGTTTGGGGAGTGAACCAGGGGGTGGGAGGGCTGTGTCTGTGTGTGTATTACAGGTTCTCTCTTTCTCTCGCTCTCTCTCTGCCTCCCTTCCTCCCACCTCTCTCCCTCCCTCCTTCTCTCTCATCTCTCTCCCCTTCTCTCCCTCCTTTCCTCTCCCTCTCCTCAAATAAATAATTTTTAAATATAACTTTTTAAAATTTTTTAAATATTTGAATGTCAGAGTTACACAGAGAGGCAGAGAGGCAGAGAGAGAGAGAGAGAGAGAGAGGTCTTCCATCTGCTGGTTCATTCCCCAATTGGCTTCAATGGCCGGAGCTGCGCCGATATGAAGTCAGGAGCCAGGAGCTTCTTCTGGGTCTCCCACACGGCTGCAGGGGCCCAAAGACTTGGACCATCTTCTACTGCTTTCCCAGGCCACAGCAAAGAGCTGGATCAAAAGTGGAGCAGCCAGGACTCGAACCAGCACCCATATGGGATGCCAGCACTGCAGGTGGTGGCTTTACCCACTACACCACAGTGCCAGCCCCCAAAAACTTTTTGTATAGATAGAAAGTACTTATCTCCCAATATACAGCAAAGCATTAGAAAATGAAGCAGAGAGTAAAATATCTTCCCATAACTAGCTCTCTCAAGATATTTATAAATTATTCAAACATGCAAGTGTTCAATCCAACTAGAACACTTAATAATGTTCCTTTATCTGCCCCATGACCACATGCAGTGCGCTCAGCTGTAACTTGCCTTAATTGTGAAAACATGATAAAGTCTGGAAATCCTTCCTGCTACAGGCACCTTCTCTGCTGGGGAGGGTTTGCATGGGGAGATTACAGATCTTTTTGTGCCTGGATCAGACCATTTACTTGTCACAATCAACAATTCACCAGAACCCCTGGATCTTCCCAGGCCTGGTACAATGTGGCACAATTCCTCTCTCCTTATTAAAAATAAGGACAGGTCAGCTAGTATGTGCATAGGAGGCAATAGAGTTAGTGTCAAAATTGCAAAATAAAGTTCTGCATCTGTTTTAGAAGAAAAATAAAGCACTTTTGTTATTATGTATATCACATGCAAGCTTTTGGCTCCTAGACAAGCCTGCAAACAGCCTTGTTGTGGGGCCATTTTTTTATTTTTTTGGTAAGAAAAGTCAGATGGACAGGGTTTTCTCAGAACTGCATCAGCAGAGCCCCTGCTGCCACCCTGCCAGGACCCCAGCAGTGGATTCTGGGGACCTGCTCAACAGCCTCAGACAGACACTCTGTGCATCTTTCCTCTGCTTTGAGGCAGAGTAGCATGGCCAGGGCAGTACACAGCCATGACAATCAGGAATAAGAAGCAGGAACAAGACCAAGATACCAGCCCAAACGCAAGATCCGAACAAGCAGAACAAGTGTTCTGAATGAGGAGTTGCTCGTTTTGGCAACAGGGCGATGTTCTTGAAATTGAAGCAGTGGTTGTTAAGAAACAAAGCAAAGAGCATTTCACAACGCAGGTTGATAGTGTTGAATTCCAGCCTTCTCTTCGAGGACAAGTGAGGTACTGGCAGGAAAGTGTCACCTTTGGATCAACCATCTGCAGCCTGAGACCATATTTCAGACAAAATCATGCAATCAAGAAGAAACGGGCAAGATTTATTTCTACAAAGACTCAGTAGCACAGTCTCCTGACAGAAGTGCAAAGTAGACAGAGGCAGGGGAATCGCGTGTGTGTGATGATGTGGAAGATGATAAAAATGCCCTTCTCCACTCCCACTCCTAAACTCAGTGGGGCCATTTACTTCTGTCCTGAGCACCACGTGAGGAAGGCTGGTTTTCAAAACCAACACCAAATCTGTGAGTACAGGCTCCAGACTTCTTCAGGACTGGACACTAAATCCCTGTCCACACTTGAAGGGAGGAGGCAATGTCATACCCAGTGTCTTCAATGACTTGAGTCTCAATTAGTGGCCATGAGAAAAAAGATGAATAGAATAGGTGTGCTGGTGCTTGCCACCTACGAGGTGATTAGATAGTCAAATAGAAACCAAATGTTGGGGCCGGCACTGTGGCATAGCTGGTAAAGCTGCTGCCTGCAGCGCCAGCATCCCATATGGGGCGCCAGTTCAAGTCCTGGGTGCTCCACTTCTGATCCAGCTCTCTGCTATAGCCTGGGAAAGCAGTGGAAGATGGCCCAAGTCCTTGGACCCCTGTCCTGTGTGGAAGACCTGGAAGAAGCTTCTGGCTCCTGCCTTCGGATCAGCACAGCTCTGGCTGTTGCGGCCAACTGGGGGGTGAACCAGCGGAGGAAAGCCCTCTCTCTCTCTCTCTCTCTCTTTCTCTGCCTCTCCTTCTCTCTGTGTAACTCTGACTTTCAAGTAAATAAATAAATAAAAAGAAACCAAATGTTATAGGTAATCACATGACGTCCTTAAAAGTATTTAAGTGTATACTGTGGGAAAAGAGATGACAAGCAAAAAGTAGTATATTGGTATTATAAAACCTTAAAAAAAGACAGATGTGCAAAAGCCTGTTGTAACTTTAAAAACCTAAAACTCTTGGTTTTCAATGCAGCAGGTAAAATACGGGGCATAAGATTTCAGCCCCAGCTAACAGTCTTTATTAATAGTTACAGTGCCTGCAAACTGGCAAGAAGCTTACAAGCAATATCTGCTTACACGATATTATTTTATTTTTTCTCATTTATTCTCATGCTAATGTGATAATACTACAAAGACAATAGATTGAATGTAGTTCAAAGATATAATTCTAAGGATATAATAATACTTAAAGAATCTACTACTGGATAGATTGCTAATCGTGCATATAACTTCTGTAAATACAATGAACTATAATGGTCATCACTGAGGAAGATAGAAAGTAATTGATCCAACTCTTCGTAGACCGAATGCCTTTCATATCCATCATTTTTGTTTGTCAGTAGGAAAGCGATTGCTGATGACTTCTCAAAGGGCCTGAGAATTCAGGTTTCCTCACAACAGCTGGAGCAGGGGGTCTGGAGGGAGCCTTAGTAGGCTCTCCAGCAGGGAGACCCACAGCACTGACTGCAGTTTAGCAACCAGATACCTTAGTGTGCATGGCCATGGGTTCTGGTCAGTCTTTCTGGTTAGCCTTTGTTATGCCAGGGTTTTGTTTTGCCTTGTCATTGTTTATGTTGAAGGTGGAGCCACCACCCCTAAAGGATGCATGCAGTTATGCAGTAATCACGCTCTGAGTAATAACAGTTAACGGATGACTAAGCAATGGAGACTAGGTCCAAAAGCATGACAATTGCTCTGAGCATCTATGACATGTTCCGGCTAAATGAGGATATACTACAACGAAGCTGAGGTGCTTATCATGGAAAACGTTTCAAAATCACAGAAATTATTCATCCTCTCTGAATTTAGTTTTCTCATTCATAACATGAGGGTTCTTCAAAAAATTAATGAAAAATGGCATTAAAAGAAGTTTTGTGCAAAAAATTTTGAAATTCGTGCATATGAGAGGTTGTCAAAAATTTCATGCAACAACTATTCAAGGATTTCAAAAAAATCTGCACCAGAATAAACCTACATTTTAATTCCATTTTCCCTGAAGTATCTGGAGTACCCTCTTATATGGTTGTTCATAATTACCATAGGAAATCATTGTAATAATTGGTTATAAAATATTTTGAGGGGCCGGCGTTGTGGCGCAGTGGGTTAACACCCTGTCCAGAAGTGCCGGCATCCCATGTGGGAGCCAGTTCTAGTCCTGGCTGCTCCACTTCCAATCCAGCTCTCTGCTGTGGCCTGGGAAAGCAGTAGAAGATGGCCCAAGTGCTTGGGCCCATGCACCCACGTGGGAGACCTGGAAGAAGCTCCTGGCTCCTGACTTCAGATCCACACAGCTCCAGCCATTGCGGCCAGTTGGGGAGTGAACCAGAGGAATGGAAAACCTCGCTCTCTCTGTAACTCTGTCTTTCAAATAAATAAAATAATGCTTTAAAAAATACTTTGGGAAGTACATGGAACACAAAGAAATGTCCAGTGGTTACAGATTCCCTTTTCTTGCATCTTTCCCATCAGAGTTTGCTCATTATAGTCTATCATACAAATGAAATATCAGGCTTAACCAATGAGAAACTTTTGTTACATAAAAACTCAGAAAATGTTGAAGAAAAACCACATCAGTGTCTGATAACACATGCTGCATTCACAAGGCGTGTTCATAAATAGGTGTTCCTATGTACACATGTCTGAAGTGCACACGTGGTCTCTCCCTATGGATTGACAAATGCACAGGTACATCAAAACATCCAATGGAAAACAGAATTGAAATGTAAGTTTATTTTGGTGCAAAGTAATTTTGGAATCCATGCATAGATTTTTATAATATGCACATTTCATGGACTTTTTGAAGAGCGTTTCCTATGAAGAGAAGAACAACTCCTAGGAAAACTCCAGTAGACCAGAGGCAGCTTCAGCCCTGTGTTGGACCACAATAGAATTAAGAAGAAGATCTAAGTCTCTGCTCTCTTCATATTATAATTCTCAGAAGAAACATGTCATTTGGAAAATACTATATGTTTGGAATTCATGTTTAAGTACCACAATGAATGACTGTATTTAGTAAATACAAAATGTAAATTAAAGCTGGCACCGCGGCTCACTAGGCTAATCCTCCGCCTGTGGTGCCGGCACACCAGGTTCTAGTCCCAATCAGGGCGCCAGATTCTGTCCCGGTTGCCCCTCTTCCAGTCCAGCTCTCTGCTGTGGCCCGGGAGTGCAGTGGAGGATGGCCCAAGTGCTTGGGCCCTGCAGCCCATGGGAGACCAGGAGAAACACCTGGCTCCTTCCTTTGGATCAGCACGGTGTGCTGGCCACAGCGCGCCAGCTGTGGCGGCCATTGGAGGGTGAACCAACAGTAATGGAAGACCTTTCTCTCTGTCTCTCTCTCTCACTGTCCACTCTGCCTGTCAAAAAAAAATGTCAATAAATCCCAACCATAGCAAGTGTACAAAGCCAAGAGAAGACTGAAAGACTCACGGACAAAAGAAAATGTTCAAATGCACAAGCTTTGTGAGTTTTGTGATTAAGACACCAGACCTCCCCTTGTGCTGTTTAATAAGTCACAGAACAACACACATGGGTACTCGTCAATAAAAGGCCCACCGGGAAATCTGGCAAATACAAACCCAGAGCATGGTGGCCGCTGGAGCTCAGCCGGGTGAGCCTCGTGCCCTCGGCCCTCCGTGGAGCCGGTGCTGCAGCCACAGGTCTGCCCTCACCACCGACTGCCGGGCCTCAGCCCAGCCTGGGCCACAAGCCGCCCAGGGAGGTTGTGGAAGCAGGCCTGGCCCTGGCGGAGCCCCGCACCGGGCCGCGGTCAGGGCCCAGCCTCTCACCACCAGGGCGGCCACGTTGTCCGGAACCTGGGCTTCAGCAGACAGCTGATGAGAAACGCCACTTAGTAATGCTTCAAGCCCCCTGTGTAGTGGTGAGTACAGGAACCCCGTGCCTCGTGCCTCGCCCGACGGTGCTCCTACTGAAGTGCAAAATCCACCTGCGCTGCCCACCGTGGCCTCTCTGCGGGAGATGATGGACGATCCCAGGAGCCGGCCAGCCCAGGGCGTGCACTCCCTCTGAACCGCCTTGTCTGGAAGGACTTCCCTTCTCGCTCACCTCCTGGAAACAACGGAGAAGACGAAATTCCTGGAAGTGCAAACCTCACAACAGAAGGAACAGCACAAGGCTCCAGGGCTTGTTTGAAAGCAGAAGTGGAAGTGCGGGTTCTTCACAACAAATAATTCAGGGATCCTTGTGTTCCACGGTTGTTAACCGAATTCAGCTTGCACGGCGGGCGTGGTGTATCACTGTCCTTAATATGAAGGGGACAGGCACCGCTGTCAAATAGCGAACTAGATTGAGGAAGTGAGGGAGCGTAGCCAAGCCAGGGTAAGGTCCCCTCTCTCTCTGGGAGGTAACTGTCGGACCTCCGCTGGGTAAGGTCCCCTCTCTCTCTGGGAGGTAACTGTCTGACCTCCGCTGGGTAAGGTCCCCTCTCTCTCTGGGAGGTAACTGTCTGACCTCCGCTGGGTAAGGTCCCCTCTCTCTCTGGGAGCTAACTGTCGGACCTCCGCTGGGTAAGGTCCCCTCTCTCTCTGGGAGGTAACTGTCGGACCTCCGCTGGGTAAGGTCCCCTCTCTCTCTGGGAGGTAACTGTCGGACCTCCGCTGGGTAAGGTCCCCTCTCTCTCTGGGAGCTAACTGTCGGACCTCCGCTGGGTAAGGTCCCCTCTCTCTCTGGGAGGTAACTGTCGGACCTCCGCTGGGTAAGGTCCCCTCTCTCTCTGGGAGGTAACTGTCGGACCTCCGCTGGGTAAGGTCCACTCTCTCTCTGGGAGGTAACTGTCGGACCTCCGCTGGGTAAGGTCCCCTTTCTCTCTGGGAGGTAACTGTCTGACCTCCGCTGGGTAAGGTCCACTCTCTCTCTGGGAGGTAACTGTCGGACCTCCGCTGTCACTGGCTGCAGCTACTTCTTGGAGGATAAACTGAGGACTGCAGAGTCACAGACATCAACGTGGACCTGCAGTCACTTCAGGTCAGAGAAACAGATTCAGGACAAAAGGGCAGGAATCAACCCGACTTCCTCAGTTCTCAAATTCCGATGGCAAATTCTTAGTTGTTCGACTTAGCTGGATTCTGCCATTAATCTTGTCCCGTTCCTCTGCTAGTAGTGGCTTTTAGGGACAGGAGTAAGGCAGAGTTTCTGCTTAAACACAAGGCCATCCAGGGTGCTGGCGGCAAGTCAGTCTAGGCGCCTCTGAGCCAGATTGGTGGGCGGGGTTTGCAGAACCTTCGCTGGTCACCACTGCTGATAATGCAGCGATGAAATCACATATTAGGTCTGAGATGAAGGCCACACCATCACTGTAAAAGCCATCCCTGTTTTCCCAAACTCTGTTGAAGAACGGACTTTAAAAAAAAAACTTTTTGTAGGTTTGATTTCTTTTACTCGCTTGTTTTTATTCCCAATACATACTAGATTGATGACTTTGATATATAGTGAAAATGAATTATTAGAACAATAAGACTATTTTGAAAAAAAAACTAGAGGGATGCAAACTATGGCCTGATATATAATGCCTTTATTAAATGTAAAGAAATTAACTTCTTTAAAGTCTAGCCCAACTAAACATAAGAAAGAAAAAGAACTATAAAGGTCTGCATTTTGTTCCTTGGAATTGTACAAACATTATATAGATAGATTTGTAACATTTTATTGTCATCATTCAATAGTAACTACCCAAAAATTACAGAAATTTTGATTTCTTGTATTAATGCATATATATGAAATTTTAACAAACACAAATATTTCTTTTTTTAAAGATTTTATTTATTTATTTGAGAGGTAGATTTACAGACAGTGAGAGGGAGTGACAGAGAGAAAGGTCTTCCTGCCATTGGTTCACTCCCCAGATGGCTGCAACAGCTGGAGCTGTGCCAATCTGAAGCCAGGAGCCAGGTGTTTCTTCCCGGTCTCCCACGCGGAGCCCAAGGACTTGGGCCATTTCTACTGCTTTCCCAGGCCACAGCAGAGAGCTGGATTGGAAGAGGAGCAGCCAGCACTAGAACCAGCGCCCATATGGGTGCTGGTGCAGCGGGCAGAGGATTAACCTACTTTGCCACGGCGCCATCCCCAACAAACACTAATGTTTCAATATATAAACTTTTAATATGACTAATGAATTTATACCTTATTTGTTACTCTCTCTCTCTCTCTCTCTCTATATATATATATAGTCTATTTGAATTACTGTATGCTACTAACACAAAATAATATCCATTAAGCTATTTTTTTAATTTGGTACAAAAACATTTGATATAATCTTTCAGAAGTGTCTTGACAGGAATTGAAAACTAAATAAAATTTAAGGCAATTTGTGCAAGCCCAGAACCTTTATCTTTAGCTTTTATCTGAAATAAAACAGATGAAGTTTCAAAAATCATATATACATTGGTAGCTAGGCAAAACAAATTGTTAGGTAAAATTGTACTTCAGTTTATGTGATAGTTCTGTGAAAGAAATGGGTTGTACATTCATAAATTTCTTGTCCATGGATCTTCATAGGATGGAAAGTACTTTTCAAAATATTCTAACAAACTCAGAGTGTTTACTGACAGTTTTCATAGTGTGCAACAATATCACAATGTACTTAGCTGATCCAAGAATTTCATTAAACTGCGGAACAAAGCATAACAACCTGCAAAAGTCCTATTCTTTAAAGGCTTTAGTTTTGCTCTCTGGTCATATCTTCCATCAAAAAACATATTTAATTTCTTCCTAGCATGCATTTATTCAGATCATTAAAAATGCGAGACACCAGACAATATCTTGCATCTAATCTTCTTTTTGTACTTGTTCCTTTGGAACAAGAGACCACTCATGTTTCAAATGTTCTAGACAGAAATTTTCTCAATGATTACTATCAAGCCTCAGCATTCAGTAATAGTCACTGTTTTATTTTTATATTGTCAAATGGATGGTAAGAATAATCTCAAATTCTAGGCAGTATATCATAAAATTCACAGACTTTACTATGGTGTCATGCATACTCAGCTCGCTTTGGGCGTGAGGACAAGACTTTCTCATTGTTGGAATTCTGAGGCTTATTTTTAATTTGACACAAGATCCATAATCTAATCGACAGTCCTCAATATTTTTTGTCAATATACCCATGCCATCTGAACACATGTCTACAAGAAACGGAAACTTCAAACTACGTTGAAGCAGGGCAAGGCTTTGAAGCTCTGAGCAGTTGAGAGCTGTTTGTCGGAATCAAAGCCAGGGAGAAGTAATTTTCCTCCATTCTACCGCAACTCAGATAGTGCATACCAACCAGCATACCGTTGGCCGTGTTTGCACTTCAAAGGGCTGCGTGAATGTGCACTGATACTCAACGTTTCCAAACAGGCACGTTGTGTGCAGCCTTTCACTGACGATTTGGAATTGGGACTGCTTAGGAACTAAAAAGACACCAGGGATAAGAACCTCTACAGCACCAATCTTTAGATGTGAAATACCAAAAATCCTGCTCCGTTAGCACTTTAATGTGATGCTCCTTCTTTCAGAACAGTGTTTGCTTTGACACACGCTTATTCACGCTGCGCCTATGAATGCTGCTGGCGTTGTGATGGTCCTTCCCCTCACTGGATCTCCAGCAATACCACACCTAAGCTTTGTGTAATCGGCCCTCAAGAACGGTTCTTCAGTCACATTCACGTCAGGAGAGATCATGATAAATAAGACTGGGCAAAACAGTTTTTAAGTTAGCATTTATTCACTACAAATGAAGAGATTAGCTAGATTGAAGGGTTAGGAATAAAGAACTAGTTACCTTAAGTAACTTTGTTAAACGGATTTTATTAAAAAACATTTTTTTGAAGGGCTGAGTTACAGAGAGACAGAGACGGAGAGTGAGAGAAAGAGAAAGATATCTTCCCAAATAGATGTTTGGGTGTGGGTTAGCAGAAGGGAAAGAGAAAAACCCCTTGCATCCACAGGCCTTGCCCTCATTCAGGGCTGGGGATTATACGTCTGTGTATACGAGGGAGGGGGACTCTTGGAGATAATCCTAGATGTCCTCTTGTAACAAAGGCTAACTACACAAATCATGGACTAACTGCAGGCAGTGGTGAAATATGGATAGCTTGAAATAAGGAATGAAGCAAGCAATATCAAATAGTCATCTACAGTAAACATTTCCTGGACACCTTAGCCGGTGCTATAGGACAAGAAACTGAAATTAGGTTTAATATGTTAGAATGACATATGTTAACATGATAATATGTTAGAATGATTGTAGTCAAAATCATGAAGCAACCCAGTAAACATGCAGGATGAACCACTATGAAATTAGTAATATCATAAGATACAGTGCTATGTATCAGCAACTACAAAATTATTTTCATATGCTATCATTTATAATTGTGTCAAGAAACATCAGACATTAGGAATTAATCTGTAAAGTATAAGATGTCTACACAGAAAAAGATATTATTATATATTATTATATGTTTTCATTATCTAGAAGTATTATCACAGATTATATAGTGAATTATAGAAATTATTAAATATATTAGTTATACATATTAGATTATCATTGATATATTATTTGTTTTTTAGTATTTATATATCATTCATCTTAAATACTATTATATAGAAATAATACATAATATATTACTATATTTAGGTTTAAATAAAGTGAAGGATATATTATTTTCATAAATTGGAACAGCAATAATTAAATATGTTAATTATCTTCTATCAATTTATATATTCAATGAAGTCCTAATGAAAATCCATGTAAATATTTTTGTGTGGATGATGAGAAGCTAATTCTACAACCCAAGTGAATTCTACAACCTTCAAAAACCAAATGTGTTCTTGAAGGAGTCCTCCTGAATGCTCCATCTTTTGCTTGTTTCAATCCCCGGGGCATAATTTGCAGTTTCATTCCTCATACTGAGTCTTTGTTATTCATGCATTTCCTTATTCAGTACTGATTTACAGTACCCACTCGTTTTGTAGACAGAGACCGAGACCGTGGTGTACTACTACCCATTATATGTGGAGACGCAAGGGTTTCAAGTGTTACATCTGCAGAGACGAATGCTGGACAGGAGCTAGAAATGTTGACAAGTGGAGAACCCCTGGACAGCATGGCAGCCTAAGAAGTAGTTTTTGCTAAGTCAGGTTTTCCTCCACCTGAACGCCACTATCACCTGGACTCTCACTGTGGAAAATGTAGTAAGAGCGCATCTTCCGAGCAGTTGTCCTCTGGCAGTGTGGATGCTGTTGGATGTATGTACACATGCTATAATATTTGGCAGGAAAAATCTGATTTCTGGGTTGAATTTCAAACCCTATGCCGTATTAGCTTTGTGACACTGAGTACTTATTTAACCTCTTCATTCTTCAATTTTCTCCATGAAAACTATGAATGAATATGATTTTAGTACATACTTTTTCTCAAAGTTGTATGACAAAGATGGACAAATAGCTAAGACAGAAAGGTGAGGGGTGGGAGAGCCTCTGGGTCTTAAGGTCTGTTTTGTTGGAGACAAGTAAACTTCATTCTGTAGATTCCAACTGCAGCAGCACTCACTGATGGAACCACGAATCAGTGCATCTGCATTGAGGGCCCACACGTGTGTTAATCTTCAGAGTCTCTTGAGTATAAATCTCATTTTATCTAACAGAAGAGAATGAGGGTCCAGAACAAGTGTATTTCTGTCAAAATAACTGAATTAATCAACATTGTTACTGGATAGAATAAGCACTGAATCGAGTAGAGCCCAAATTCTCTGATTTGTTCCTAAGTCCAATGTTTGTCAGTTCAGAAATCAAATTTAGTTGGACATTGGGCTAAATTATTATAGAGCTCTGTTTTCTCTAATGGCAGACTCACTTTCAAAGATGTTTCTTTGGCTAATTCATACTGTCTCCAGTAGTCAAAAAAAAAA